AATGGTTTGAGCTCCCATACATTGCCCTCCACATGCTTGCTCTTTTTTTCCTGAAAATGAGGCCTATTGGGTATGCTCTGTACGAGGTCTGTGCACCTCCTGTATCCCAGCGGGAACTCGTGGGGAGGAACTCCTGCTCCGTCCCGTATGACTCAACCACCCAGCTCGGCCCGGGAAAGACTCGAGACTTCAACCTTTTTTGTGTGTAGATATGACTTGTTTGAACCATCACAGACAGATGAAATGAAAAGAAAAAGAGACGAACAATTATTTTCTTGACAGTTATTGACAGGGTGCAGCCCCCTTAAGACAAAAAGAAACTAAATGCTTATGTTTTATATCTTGTGGGCGGTTGCGACGGAAGAGTGATGTTAATCATGAAAAGCTTGTCAAAATCCGTGAGAAAATCACCTCGAAAAATACGGTTGTTTGTTTCGTACTCAAGGCTCTACAGTTTTTTTTAAGAATCCGTGGTAACGTACTTAAATAGGTACATACTTGATTTATTTTCACTTATCATGCTTATTGGCATAAATTGTCAGGATTCTATTTTGCGAGGCTTATAAACAGGTCTGGAACAAATTCACGACGAATCAAAATGTTAATTTTTAAACATGTCGAGAAGTATAGCTTGTATAAATGAGGTTGGCCAGATTATTATTAGCATTATTATTTGTTTAGGGGGAGGGGTGATTGGGTGGTGCGTGGGGGCGATAGCGTATCAAGTGATAGATTGACATGGATCTTTGTGTACCTGCACGGTTTTATTCAATTTAACCTTCGTTCAATTTATGAAAAACTAATTCACAAGCGACTCCAAAACTCCAAAACAAAGCTGGATTTTTTTAATCGACCTTTTACGGGTTAGTGGTCCTCCTATTCTGACCACGACGAGACACCCTATTACTAGTGATTTCAATTTGACATCATGTACCCACGCATGAAGGCCATAAAAGGCACCTTGTCACGTTCTTATCACGTTATTTTCACCTAAATTACCGATATCAGTGACTTATATTTACAAATCTTTGCTGGTTTCGGAACAGGTTCATGACATTATGATGTCAAAACAACGTCAATAACTTCACTTTGTTTTGAGTTAAGAATGAAAAATATTTCTTGTTTTTAAAGTGCTTAGTCTATTTAAAGTGTTGCTTTTTAAATGAAATACGATTTGTTTATTTTGTATGTCTATTTAAAGTTTGTTTCTTGTTTCACAATTTAAAATAAACAGGACCATGAAACATTACAAGGTTATTCATAAAACGCGTTGTAATTAGTTTTATCTGATACTCTTCATTCAAAATGTTGATAATCATGGTTGATAATCCAATGCGATATTTTTCTGATTTTAGGAGGTGGGGGACGTTTTGCTTATTTCCTACCAAATGTCAGTGTAATTATACATGGACTATTTTCATCGATCTTTCATTATGGAGAATTATTGTGAGACCATTTTGGTAATCTCTGCAAAATAGTTTCTACAGCATCCAATCTTTATGATTCTTCTATGCCATCGCGAATTCACACTTCCCTCTGGCCAGCTAACACCACAACTGAACGGCTTGTTACTGTGCTGTTGATAGTCGGGATTTCGCGAGGAATTCGACAAATTCTGTCGGCTTACATCGGACAAACAAAGGCGGGAAAAAAGGGAACGACATAAAGAGGAGTTTCTGGATCAATCACAACCACCAGTCTGTCATCGTTGACTACCATTCCAGCTTTGCGATCGTCGGGTGTACCCCCAGCAAGAGCGATGACGACATCCAGTGCACGGACTGGCTATTTACCAGTGATTCGATGTCGGTCAAGATCTACATGTTGCTTATCAAAATTATATGATGCTACTCAAGAATGATCATCTTACTTAGAGGAACTTATCTTTGACTATGATACATTATAATCCTATTTATTTTTTGGATCGTTTACCTGTAACAATGGTAATGACTGCACAGGTACCGGATCCCCCCCCCCCATTCCCCCCCACATCTCTCTCTCTCTCTCTCTCTCTCTTTTCTCTCTCTCTCTCTCTCTCTCTCTCTCTCTTTTTTTATCTCCTCTCTTTCGCTTCCTCTTCCTCTCTATCCCTCCTCCCTCCCACCCACCCCTATCCTCCTCTCTTTTATCTCTCAGTTTCAAACTGAGAACAAAAGTTCGGACGTGTGTAAATCTGTCGATATTTGTTAGTGACCTTAAACTTGGAAAGAAAATTGGCGTGTTATCATATCGTGTAGGAGAAATCACCAGTCGCACAAAATAATCGTGACAAAGTAACGTGTAAGCCATCGCTGGAGATGAAGCCTAAAATCTCGTCAAAAAGCTAATTCATTTAGAAGCCCAAGATATAATATAAGCTCTGTGCACATCAAGGGAGAAAGGATTGGAAGCTCATTTGCATATCCAAAAAAGGAATAATAATAGTGATAGGAATATATTACAAGCCGTCTTAAAGAGATGCTCCAAGAGCCGGAGTAATTTTTAAAGTGAATGTTATTGAAAACAAGATCAACATATTGTGTATGTGGTGTAGCAAAATGGGGCTAGTGGATACGTGCCTCCCCTACCCCCCCCCCCCCCCAACTAAAATATGGGACAAAATAGCAGGGATTCGGCCTAATGCATTATGGCATAATTCGTCAAACTTGAGTGGCAATGTCAAAACATCATTTAAACTCTCTCTCTCTCTCTCTCTCTCTCTCTTTCTCTCACACACTCTCTCTCTCTCTCCCTTCTATTCCACCCCGACTCTCTCTCTCTCTCTCTCTCACTCTCTCTTCTTTTCGCCTTCTCGATCTTCCTCTTCTGCTCCTTTCTTTCTCTCACTCTCTTCATCTTTTTCTTGTTCTAAACTATTCTTACCCCCCCCCCCCCTTATTACCGAAAAAGACCCCCAAAAGAAAAGAACAATCCGGTTATATATTACATTTAAATTGTTACAGTGAACAAAATAATAATGATCCCTTTATTCTACAAATTATCGGTTCACTTATTGGCAGTGTGTTTCATATTATACTACCGGCGTAAGATCCACTATAACGCGTCCTAGATATCAATTATTCATTCTCTTTACTACGGTAAAATAAATTATCATCCTAACTATAGATGTGAATAACCGCGTCTCCATAACTGATCAGTAACATGAACACCCAACAGACCTGAGTCTGCGAATACCCATTGCGGCGGTCTCTGCCTAACATTTTCTTACAAACTAAAATTTGAGCGCGCGGGCGCCGCAAGGAAACAGTCTGCTCAACCAATTAGAGGCGGGGATGTATCGTCTGCAAATTTCATTTCATTTATTTGATATTACCAGGCAGGTACGTTGATACTAAACTGTGCCTCACCATTATCAGGTGTTTGTATAAGCGTCAGGAAATTATGCGCAGTTATTAGTGTATAGTAATTATGTGAGTCATGGACGGTCGATAACTTGCACGCATGAAGGCGTGGATATTCTAACAGTCCTAATTATAGAGGAGAAAAGACAGCCAAACTTTCTGTCTGCTGTTGTTCCAGATCACACAAATTGATGAATGAAAATGATCGGATCAATCATTAGTCAATTTACCGGGAAAATGTTTCATTGGTTTGAAAATATGAAACTACTAATATATTCTCTATAACTGATGCGCTCCGCCTCAGTTAGATGTATTCCATGTGACTGTAAAGGTTGTTTGATCAGGTAATTTTAATAAGACAAATTATGTACAAGAATAAAGGCCTTTTATGAAAATAATGTGTCTAGGTGGCCCTAAAATAAGTAAGGCAAGCCATGAAGCCAACCTTAAAGGGAAAGTCCACCCCCAAAATAAGTTTGTTTCGATAGAGGCAGAATAATAAGAAAATCAGGTGAGTGAAAGTTTGAGCAAATTCTGAATGAAAATAAGAAAGTTATGAATTATTGAAGTTGTGATCAATCAAATACAAATTGGCAACTCTGTGACTTAATATACGAGCTCTCCTTCATTTGCTTTGTGCATAATATTCCATAAAATCATGTTTTCTTCGTTATTGATGACGGAATATATATTTGTTCCTTGCAGGGGGAGTATAGAAACATATTTGCAATTATTATATTTAGGGTGCATGTATGGTTGAAATTTTTCTTGAGGGAAAATGAAAATTTTAGATTTTTTTAGTACTGAGCAAATGGTAGTTGAGCTCGCATGATACGTCATAGAGTTGCCAATTTGTGTTTGGTTGATCACAACTTCAATAATTCATAACTTTCTTATTTTCATTCAGAATTTGCTCAAACTTTCACTCACCTGATTTTCGTATTATTCTGCCTCTATCGAAACAAACTTATTTTGGGGGTGGACTTTCCCTTTAACTTATCAATTACAAGTTTTGAGCATTTTCCAAGTCTGTATAACCAGACTAATATGAATGTGGCAATATTACTATGAAGGTAGCAAAGTACAGCTTCCGGAATTACTCGTAGCGTCATTTCACGCTATGGGCATTATCAGTCTTTTATAATAATCGTTTGATATTTTCAGAAGACAAATGAAAGGATTTACGGTCGGGAAACAGACAAGAAATTATAAAACGAAAGGGGAAAAAAAAACAAGGATATATGCCTCAGATGCCTATCCAGTTCTGGGTATTAACATTAAAAAAGTAAATATCCGAGTCATACCCCCCCCCCCCTATTCTCCTCTTTTGGCGGACTTTACGCAGAAGTCAGAAACCCATGGAGGAGGGTATTATAGGGAAAGGGTATTATAAAGAGAGGTATTACCAGTGCTGTGAAAAGGCGACACGGGAATTCGCATTGCTATGGCTTCGTAAGAAGTTGTTACATAAACTACCAAACCCGACTTGATCCGCAAGCCTTTTCAGGTCATTTCTATTCAAATGGGAGCTTTCTTTCTACATGATACAGGAGAGGAAAAAATAAAAGAGTGAGAGGTTTTGAGGGTTGAATAGGGGTTCGTGCGTTGCGCCGGTGGACGGAGCGACACTTCGTAGAAAGGAATAGTTGAGTGAAGCGAGTGTGGCTTTCGCTTTTTGTCACTCCCGAGTGCTTCGGAGTAATTTTGTCTTTAAAAGTTGGGAAGAAAACAAGCTAGTGTAATCAAGCAGAAAGAAGGAGATAAAAGAAGAGTGACAAGTGCCTTACGAATAGGGGAGAATCCTTTGAAATGTTCCTGGTTGCGTGAAAAGGATAGGCGAGGAGTTTAGCCTCAACGATTTTCGCGCGAGTCAAACTCGATAACACAACTAATCCACTGCCCTATTATCGGACAGTGTCGCCTGCGAACGCAGAAAGCCAAGTTCGTGAAATAGTTCGTCCGAAACGCAAACTGGAAAGGTCGCGCATGTTCGTGCTCCCGCATTTATCTTCACCAATATCAGGAATATGCATATTTTTCCTTCGGTGATAACTATGGAATACTCCAGGAAAACTTACTTGGATTTAAACACAATGGCGAAGTATATATTGATCCTGAGTCTCTTTTTTGGACCAGGACTAAGTTGGGACGTTTTCTACTCTGGAGACGAGGACCAACTCAGCTTAGCCCGGGAGCGACGGGCGGCAAATTACAACCCTTCACCCCATATGAGTACGTGGGAAAGAAACGAAATCCAGCAAGAAATCCTGAACATTCTAGGCCTTCAACACCGGCCTAGGCCCCCGTCCCTTCGGGGTGGCCAGAACCATTCTGCGCCTCAGTTTATGATGGAGTTATATCGTACTTTGAATATCGACGAGCAGTCTGGACACCCTAGTGAAACTGAGCCCCAGCCCGGAGGTTTGGCGTCCAATGCCATCTACAACTCGCCCGATTCGTCGGGGATCGGGAGTGTTATGTCTGGCACAGTGTTTAACTATACAAGAAATGAAGTACAAGCCGTCAGTCAAGCCGATACCATTATGAGTTTACCTGGTAAGTGAACCTTCTTTATGCAGCTTCTGTAACTAATCATAAACCATAGACCCCACCTATACTAACCGGAGTACAACATTACCATATTCGTCCATAAGTAAACCTTAAGTAACCCTAAAGTAAGTAAACCATTAACTAATATCTGGATGAAATGATTCCAAATGCAGCGTAAAACATTTTAACTTTTCATGTTATCTAAACTTTGTATTTTGACTTGAAGCATATCACATTACCAGGCCCAAACTGCATTTCGTATCTAACATTGAGTTGTGAATAATTAGAGAAAACAAATTATCTTACAAGTTAATGTTATACCACTTCTGCACTATTCAACACATTTAAAAACTATGTACAGGTCTACATCTATTTCATGACGACGCCAACGAAATTGTAAAAATCTAAAACAGGGTACAATGATATGTTAAGTATTCTAAAAATGTTATGTTTAATCAACTAAACACACGAAATGAATAGTTAAGCTCTAGATTATCATTGTTAATTATGTGATATATTTTCACCCGATATAAATGGGAAATACATCATATAAACTAAATTACAAAAGGCATGTGGATATAAATTAAAAATATCTTCATTCTATCGAGAGATAGATACAGTACTTTCTTAAAATTGTAGCCTTCATCATTACCATTATTTTAGCAGAACAAATCAAACTTCCCAAAAGTTTAGTTAAAATTAAGCCAAAAAAGTAAGAAAGAAATTGCTGCACATTTTGAGTACAGTATAAGCTGAAACAAAAACTTAATTTGTACGAGCAACAAGCTTAATGTTTCTATTTTTTTAATTTGAATTTTGGATGACGAAAAAAGGTGTTTTTAATTCTCTTCAAATGCCTCTTAAAGAACTTGCCGATGTAAAGTTTTTGGGCATGGACAATATTATTATGATAAAATTAAAACTTGAAGGAAAAGTACCTTTATTAAAGGTAAAGACCAGTTATGGTATTGCGATTGCATTGTGAAAGAAACGTTGTGGAATCGATCAGAAAAGGTTGATCATCTAGCATATAAGTATTGGTGTGTATACTGCAAGGTTCTGGAATCATCAAAATGATAAGAAATATGGCCCAGTCTTCGTAAAGTTACAAGCACTGTACACAGAAAGATGTATATCGGACTATACGCACACATGACTGTGTTTATCTCTCACAGACCATGTAGATAAACTAATTTACCAAATATATCAATTAGTAGGCGGTTTCCCGGCAAATTTTTTATTATCATGTATTAGTCAAAACATATTCGTTCACATGATTGGTAATAAGAGCTTCCATTTCATTTTTTGAAATTGGGGCGTTTCCAATACTGGTCTTTATCTTTAAATATTTCCAAGTTTTCGATTACATCTGTATAAAGGTTTGTCACTTGATCATTACAATTATACTCGAAAAGTGCCAAACTTGCGCCGAAATGTGATTCTATAAGATTCTGTTCAGTTCACAGAATTACTCCATTATAAACCAGTTCGTTATAAATATTCCTTGTCTCTGGGAAAAACAAAAAAAAATAAGTTATTTCACCAGATATTTTTATCAGCATATCGTTTTTGCTTCCCATGCATGGACAAGGACTCGTGTCAAAGTCAGTCGTATTTGTTTACCACCTGTCGTTGGGTTGAGTTGTTTACGTGTGGAAACCTCTCGATTCACAAACAAAAAATGACTGTTTGACACATTGGGGTCAACATTTGCTGGAGTCTTCCAAGGAAACATGACTTTTATTCAGCTTATTATATCCTTTCCATGGGAATATAGATGGAAAACTCTTGTCACTTTAAGCAATGGGTTAAAAGGGTGAATTTATTTGGATCCAAGAAGTATTCAAACTTCCTAAAACGTTTCTTACATAGAATAAGTTGTAGACAATTATAGGAAAAGAAAGACTTAACATTATATTACAACAACATGAAGTGAGAAGAATAGATTTTGTTTTCCTTATACACACATTAATAGTGCTAACATCTGTCTTTTTAAAACAACATTTCTTTTTAGTAGTAAGTTACTTCCAATGAAATTAGGACTGTGCATGAAATGGTGACTTCAAAATATTAAAATCATTGTGATACCATCGTTATTATGATTATTGCTGTTAGTAATGCATCATCTCAGTTATTATAATCGTATTTTGTCGTTCCTATTATCAGTTTGAAAACACTCTTCATTAATAGTGATAGTATTGTTATCGACACTATATTATCATGTTCATTAGTAATGTTATTTAGTTCTATAATTGAGCACTTTGTACTCGACGATAGACACAGCACAGTTAATCTATTTAAATCTTGCCCCTGATCGCCATCTTTATCAACTTCCGAATTCTGTTTGTGGTTCTCAATAATACAATTTACTTGGTGAACTTCAAAGAACTTGTCTATGTGCGGACAAACGACGAGTAGGGTTATATTTTTGGAATATAATTAAACCATGAATATACCGGTAATCATATCCTACCTTCCTATAAAGAGAGGAGAGGTGGTCTAGATGAGATAAAGAAACAAGAAGAACGAGTGAAAGAGAGAGAGATCGATTGGTAAGATAGTGTGATGAGATAATCAATCTCAGTCATTGTGCAGTTGGCAACAGTTAGCATGGATGATTGGATTCATAAACGAAAGAATTCAATTTACTCAAAACTATTATACATTTCTCATCGTTCTATTACACATTTCAAATATCTTCAGGTTATTGACTTGAAACCCAACAAGCATGACAATAGACATCATGTAGTAGATCTTTATCAATGACCGACCTCAAAGTATATTCTTGATTAAGTTCTAAAACTATGCATTTTTGGTGAAGTTTATGTAGTATGCATATTTCTAGATGCATTTTGAAAATATATCAAGATGTATAGAATATTTCTAATAGTCATACATTTTCGTAGATCCAAACATTTATAATGCACTTTACACTTACTCACTTCTTACAACTACAGAGAAACTTGATTTTCGGTATGTCCCATCTGATTTGCTCTACATGTAACTTACAACGTCGAGTTTTATATTAGGACTTAAGAAGTGTATTCGCGAGAAAACATGCATCTCCTTTAGGTGGGATTTCAACCTTAATAATATTGATTATTGTTAGTAATGTTATAAAGAATATGATAATCATAATCTTTTTGTTAATCTTAAGGTTTAAAAATAGAGAAACTGTTACTATTTTTTCAGTGACAATCTTCTTTGCAAGACCAATTTTGCGTGGTCTTTCAATTGTAATTGATAAATTATAATACGTTATTTTAGGAGGAAAAAAAACATTTAAACACGAACGGCGATTACTGTACACTGACTTCAAGAAAATCAGTTACTGAGATCTCAGTCAATTCAATTCAAAATATTGAAGTAGTTGATAGCCTACTTTATTAAAAGTAGATGGATGTGTTTCCAGTATAAAATCAAGAGCACTTTAATAAGTAATTTCCACGTTTTTTTCAAGTGTTGTGTAATTAAAGGTATTTAGTTAATGATACTTTAATAACTAACAAAGAGACAATAAGGCAATTAATTAATTCACTTAATAGTTCATTCCATATGAGTAATTCACTCAGTGAAACGGTTTTTTCTATCCGCCTCATTTAACAAAAAATTAAGTTGAATTATATGTCTACACCGCATTCAGGTGTTTCTCATTTCGAAGTACACCACATTTTTCTAAGGCTTGGACATATTATTTGCGCCTAACCAAATCCCATAATTTTAGATCCCTTCGGGGTAGAAAAGTGTTATTGTTAAATCTTACTGGGATTGATGTATAACACTGACGAATCTTTACAGGAATGAAGAAAAGAAAACCTGTATACAATGCATGGATTGAATTTATTGGAGGTTAAGGTGTATATGGTCCTTGCATGCATGCATTAGAGGCGTTTAAGCTCAAAAATATTCCCTGGCACAATGCTCCGTGTACCACAAAGGTTCTATTGTGACTGGAACGAGTGTAACATTGGAGAAGTGATGTCATCAATCAACTATTAAGGTAACCATGGCAACCAGTGTTCTCTTTAAGCTATCGTCTGGATGACTGATAGCCTCAGATGTCTGGTACGCGGGAATGATACTACCAACTATTGTATCGTATAATAGTGACTACCCCCCCCCCCCCCCCGACGGTCCTGATAGAGACCTTGAGGTGGAGGGGGAGGGGGCTCTATATTATTATAGCATGGTCTGTCTTGAAAGGAGGGGGATATCAACCTCTCAAAAGGTATTTGCCCCGATACTTTGTTTTTGTAACAGAGAAAAAATGGTAACATTTTGGAAAAATCGGACAAAGTATCCCAATAATATTCTTTAAGTGCATTATGCCAGAATGCTGGTATAACGAACAATTAAACTATCAGTTTAATCAGTCAGCAGTCGGAACCGATAATGGAAGCGAACATGAAATGAACGAACCCATAAAATACCCGTGGTTGTTTTACTACATATATAATTATTTAAAACTTATTGACCCTCCTCCCCCCACCCCCCCCCCCCCAACAAAAAAAAAAGTTTGTCGAGTAGACACTGTTGACATGACATATAAAAGGCTAATTCCAAAATGAGGTGATTATTTATGTTTATCCCAGTTTCATTTCAACATGAACAGAGAAAGATGTGAAATAAACAAGTATATGCGTATAGTTACACTGTATTTACCTGGATGCAGTTGTAGTTTTCTTTTTTGTTGAAAGGATATTCTCGATGTTTGGGGGGCTTTCGTGTGCGGCTAAAGAGATAATCCCAGGCAGCAAACGACTGGTGTACTTGTGTCAATCCGACGCACATATGACAACTCCAGCGCATAACATCGTGTCAACATTGAGTAAAATTGATGGAAAAGGATGGGTGTTTATGCGTTTTTTTCTCCGACTCTCCTTTTCTTGTCGTTACTCTCTTATTTGTTTCGGAGAGGATAGGAAACTGGCATTTTATGGCCCTGTCGCCTTTTGATACTCAATATACTGCAGACTATTGATTGTGAAGTTGCAATGTTTTTCCCG